AAAAAAATCTCAAAGTCCCTTATTGTGAAGCTGCTGCTTCCTTGTGCTTCCCTTTCACAAAGAAGGGTGGCACAGTCATTGGTAACTCAAGCTGCCATGACATGTCACACCTTCCTAGAATGCCTTTCATGTTAGTCCTTCTAAACTCAATTTGTCAAGAAGAAATCCCCTTATTAAAAGTTGAAATTAGATGATCTTTTCAGTACATATTTAACATAGCCTGTTCACATAAATCCCAACATTATGTTGTACAATAGTCATGGATCCATTCTGATAAGATCTGAACTTCTCTCAGGAAATAAGATGGCTTTTTAAAAATTTACCTTGTACCTTATGTACTCTCATATACCTTTCACATATAAATTTGACAAATGTTTGTTGGATGGATAAATAAGCATGTAAAATTCCTAGTTTATTGCCCCAGACTAGACAAAGTAATTTACTTTCTGATAAAAGAATATGTTGATGTGCTGATGTCCAATGGAGAGGGCTTACAGTAAAATCTCTTCCAAGATTACAGAGTCCTTTCCAAGTGACAGACCTGCTAGAAGTGAGTCAGTGGATTGGAACCTGATTTTCGTTGTTAATTCTCTATCTACCTCACATTGCCAAAAACTAAGACATAATTGAAAATTATTTCAGAACATCTGTCTCAAGATGTGAAGATGCCATGAAATTTCCAGAGATTATAAGCCTCTGCAGACAGAATAATAATGGTTTATGAAGACATCAGAGAAAGCCATCAATTAGAACACTGCAGTATTTCATTAATTTATACTATCAAGGGAATTGCAACACTCCACCTCAATAATAAAGGAATTATATAAACTTCAAGCAATAGTAAGCACAGAACCTCAAGTCTCATCAATCACATAATTGTGAGATGTTGCAAACTAGTTAAACATTTATATTATAGTGTCATTTTACAGAAATTATGCATTTATATGATTTAAAAACATTTTATTTTACATACCAACTACAGTTCTCCCTCTCATCCCTCCTCCAGCTCCCTTGCCCTGCCCTCTGTCCCCCCAATCTACTCCTCCAAAAGGGTAAGGCCTCCCATGGGAAGTCAACAAAGCCTGGTACATTCAGTTGAGGCAGGACCAAGCTCCTGTCCCTGCATCAAGGCTGAACAAGGCATCCCATCTATGTGATTTTAAAATGCTCAAGATAACATAAGATGGGCAGGACTTACAGATAAGTAGATGATATGCAGAAATTCCAAAGGATTACTTCAAACCAAAACATTTTCAAGGTATGTAAAAAATACTCATAATATCTATTCTTGGTTGAAATTGCTCCTTCATCTGTTTTAATTTACAATATCCATGAATATTAATTCATATGAAGAAATAGACTTTACAGGTGCAACAAAGGAACTCAAAACAAGTAAGTAATTACAGATGAAGTTTCTGGGTTGGTTCAATGTCATCAAATTGATCCTTGTAAAAGGATTGTAGAAGTATCAGATTCAAAGATAGAAGATACTGAAGTGTACTAAGGGCCAGAAAAGGGGGAAGCTGCAGCCTATCTGGCTTTCAAGATGAAAGATGGAGCTATAACCACAAATTATCAGTGTTCTACAGCAGATCAATAGATGTAGAAATATTCTATCAGGCTGGAGATATAGCTCAGTGGTTAAGAGCACTGACTGCTCTTCCGGAGTACCTAGGTTCAATTCCCAGCACCCATGTGGCAGCTCACAATTGTCTGTAATTCTAGCTCCAGAAGACCTGACACCAATGGCAAAACACCAATGAACATAAAATAAAAAATAAAAAAAATTAAAAAAAGAAATATTCTATTGATGGAGGACCCAGAAAGGACCAGCCATGATGACAGATTCATTTTAGCATGGTGAAAGTGATTTTAGATACCAGAAGACTACAGGAGAATAAACACATTTTGTTTTATGGCAGGAACCATGTGTTGAGTTGTTACAGCAACATGAAGAAAATGACAGACTCCCTAAAGGAGTCTGGGCCACACAGCCAGAGCACACATCGCTTCTACCCACCCAGCACTGCTTACAGGATTGTCATGCTTCTTCCCTGCGATGAGATTTGTTGAACAAAATGGACTTGCCAAATGAGCTCAGGAAATAGGTTGCTGCTATGTGTTTCAAAACTTACAGAGATATGAAATCAGTGGCTATTGCATGTGGCTTTCACATAGCTCTGGCCTCAGTGAATAATTAATAATGGCCTAAGAAAACAGACATACAACAAAAATAAATATTTAGGAGGATTATGGCCATATGTATAGGCTTTCTTTCCCATTTTATGACTCTTAAAATATTTGAAATTAGGTACGATTATTGAAACTCCTTTGAAAGGGCAAATTGCTCTCTGAGAACGAAATCCAGTTACTCCCTGCAGTAGCTGTCATCTGGAATTCTGTATTCAGAATTGATTTAGCTGCCAAAAAGTTTGTAAACACAGACATCTGGATCTTGCTAAGGATGTTGGAGAGTTATTCACCCTCTGAATTTGCTCATTATTTTGAAGTCGTGTAGAACAGTGCAGGGATAAGATCTCCTTGGAACTGTTTTGGATTTCTCAAATCTTGCCTTTTAAAAAGTGACAAAACAATTTTAAATCAACATCAGTTGTGAAAGTAATGCAGCAATACTTCACTCAGGTAACAGTCTATGGATTGCATTTGCAACAACAGTACAGTATTTTAGGGACTCTTGAAAATACTGAGGAAAGAGGATAGCTGAGGTAAATTTCCAGTGACAATAATAACAGCAACAGTACTGACATGTTTGGATTTTTCACAATGGCAAAATGTGTCTGTGGCACAGTTTTAATGCCTACTGCAATTAGATACTGTTTTTATTGTTGCTATTTTGGAAACCAAAAACTTTTTCTGCTCAAGGTGTGAAAACCTCAGAAGGTGACATTTCGCTAATGACTCCTCTATGAAATTGACAAAGATGGATGTAGTGCCTTTATCCATGGCCCCTGAGAAACACAGTGTTTTCAAAATGACATTATACGTGTGAGAAAAAAAACTGAGAAGCTCTGCTTTTGTTTACATAAAAAATGGTTACACAACTTAATCGCATAGTGCGCATTTCATGTCAGTTTGCAAATACTCAGTTGGGTTCTATTTAAAGATAAATAGTTAATTGTGCTATTTTCCAGGATCTAATAACTTCACTATTAGAAATTAGGATTATGCAGCACCTTACTTGAGAGAATCAAAATAAAACTTTCACATGCTTTACTAATTAAATCCTGCCATTCCCTTGCTGATGGTGTTCCTCTGCAAGGCTTGATTTATGTTTAAACTATATGTGAAGAGAAGTGAGTGTCATATACAATGATATGTATTTGCATGTATTTACGTAAGTATTGAGACAGAATTCTAACTCTCAAACCAAAACATTCCTAATTTCAAGTTTTATTTTTAAATTTCATGTATGAGTCCTGTATTTACATCATTCCCTCACCTTTTCAACCCCATTTAACTCCTCCCATGTAACTCCAAGTCCCTTTTAAATTCATGACCTTCCTTAATTATTATTGTTACACACACACATACACACACAACCAAGTCTATTTAAAGTTGTTCATATGTACATATTTTGTTTAGAACAGACATTTGGGATTAGATAACCTATCAGGTATTGGACCCTGGGGAAAACTAATTTTTCCATTGACTATTAATTGTTAATATAGCCATTGACTGCTTGTAGCTCTTCATCAAGATGTGGTACCCTTGGATATTTCATTCTTGTTTGCCTGTTAACTAGTTCTGTCATTATGCAGGTCTTATTTAGACAACCACCTTTTTGAAATTCACAGGTGCATCACCCTGTCATGTCTAGAAGCTACTTTCTCACAGCAAGCATCATGGTTCTTTGGCCAAAAAATATTTCTGCCCACTCTTGCATGTTGAGCAATAACTACTGCTAATATATTGTCATGTTCTTATTGTGAACTATTTTTTTTATAGAAAACACTTAGGGTGCGAGGGCTTTCCTGTTTCCATAAAGGAGAGCTCACTAAAAAACTAAGCGTCCACACGCTGTCCTTACTTTTAGTAGATTCAATATGTATCTCCAGAGTTGGTGACTCACTTCATCTTGTCTGGTGTTAACTCTGATTTTAAAAATGGCTTCAGGGGGTCCCAAGTATCCCCAGAGTTTCATTTTAGGTCACATTCTCTAATAAAGCAGAAAGATCAGGCCCTTCTGCTTAATCTACACCCAGATAGAAGGTTATATATGGCATTTGGTGTTTCTGACATCAATCTATTCCAACCATTACTTTCTATGAGTGTCTGGAAGTCACAGATTTGATCTTCATGGGAAGTCCTCTGTTTTCCGCCTTGCCCACAGTCAGGACAAATCTTTGTCACCCGCCAGTCCCTCAGCCGCTCAGACCCAACCAAGTAAACACAAAGACTTATATTGCTTACAAACTGTATGGCCGTGGCAGGCTTCTTGCTAACTGTGCTTATAGCTTAAATTAGTCCATTTCCATAAATCTATACCTTGCCACGTGGCTGGTGGCTTGCTGGCGTCTTCACATGCTGCTGGTCATGGCGGCGGCGGCTGCAGT